CCCATTGGCTTTTTGTTTTATGGGAAGCTGTCGGGGTGTGTTGGAAATAACAATCACATGACCACAGCAGCAGCATGGCAGTACTGAAGAAGCCACAACTGGACCTTTAAAGGTTTTCAGAAACAAGACATTTCCCAACAGTAAGAGAGATGGATTCCCGTTAGTCACCTTAGTAGTAACAGATGTGTATATTTTTGTACTTGGCTCTATTCCAGTATACACATGATCTAACTGGAACTTCAGTGGGATCATAATACATAGTTAGAAATAAAGTCTGCTGGGACAGCATATTTAAGCTATAGCTGTTTAGAATTGAAAATGGTTATAAAGAAAGATTTCAGTATTACTCAGAGTGTGTAAATGCATTTCATATTTTCCTTCAAGAAAAAAGAATTATATGGTGTCAATTTTACATGCTGCTTCAAAAAGAGTCCCTGCTACATGATCAATATTTATGATCCATCAAGATAGGTGAAAAAAAATCCACTTTCAGGCCTCTAAAAAGTTAAACAACCCTATATTGAATCAACTGTTAATTTTTTTTTTCCTGGAGCCATATAAATATCAGGACAATGTCCAAGAAACACAATTATTTTCCAGACATATTTCTAACTAGTATTTGTTGGCTTGCTTTTATTTTCTTTCGGTTATCCAAATGTTTTTAGTGGCAAGCCGCCATTGTTTCAGAGGGCTCAGGGCATCTCTAGCAGACAAATCTTCTTCTAAAGGTGATGGGATGACTTCCAGATTCTAGATGCTCAGCTGGGCTCACAGATGTACAGAAAGGGAGAAGAAGAAAAGCATTCATCTGTCACCACAAAATAACTGAGGATTAAAGTTCATGCCCTGTTAACAATGCATTTCTTGTTCGTTCAACAGAAGGACTTTCTTCCTAGTTTGTAAGTTGTTCTCTGCCTAATGAGCAATTAAAATAAAATGTTTCTGCGTCAAAATAATGCTCAGTAGTATTGCATCAGTATCAACTATTTCTTACTTTGCCTTCAAAGGCAGTAAACACATGAGAGCTAGAATATGTAGAGGCAAAACAAAGTGTAAAAATTAATTTAAAATGCAGAAATATCATAGATATATTACAGAAGACGGGGTTTAAGACTTTGATTTTTATCTAGCATTGCTATCCCTGTCATTGTTTTTTTAACGTCTCCTTAATTCCCAAAATACAATACCAAGAAAATGCATCTAGGATATTCTTAGAGGGCAGCCTGATCCAATGCAGGATCACTGCATGAAAGGACCAAGAAATCACTTTTCTTCATGCTGAATATGTCCTTAGGGTCTCTTTAATGAATAAAGCAGGCAAATTTCCCTAGGGAATTTTCTCTGGGTAAAAATTCACTGGGAATGTTGCAACGGAAGAGTTTGCAACTTTTCCATGTACTTGGATTATAGACTCAGCTGCCCACAACAGCATCACAGCCGTGTTTCCAGATTGGATTACTTGAGGCAAGAAAGCTTCCTGGCATATGAGTCAAGAAACAAAAAAATACTGGGCGAACAAAAGCTAATTATCCCTGGCTAAGGTGTTGGCAAGATATACTTCTAATCTATGCATCAGAAGTCCCACACTGGGAGAAAAGTCCAATGGGTGGGGGATCTTTGAAAAACCAGGAAATGCACAAAAGAATAAGCTGAAGAAAACCCAGAAACGAACCAGAGTACTCCAATGACTCCCCCTTCTGGATGTAGCATACTTCATTGTCACTACATTGCTGCTTCCTCTTCTCACAACAGACAAAAGGTTGCATTAAAAAGCACTAGCTGTATCAAGAAAGCAATATTTAAGCACCAGCCATTAGGAAGCTGATTTGCAGAGTAAGTCGTCTTGAAGTTTGACCAGGAAATTACCTCTTAGACATTTCATAGGGAAAGGAAGTCTATCAGTATAGCTCATGCCATCAACTGAGAACGTTACACACGGAGGGGAAAGCGCTCCCCTTTCTCCACTCCCACAGTATAAGGGAACCAGCTACCCCCAGAGATCCGGACCATACCCACTCTCATGGCCTTCAGGAAAGCTGTAAAAATTTGAATTTGAATTTGTATTTCCCTTTATTTGTATGCCGCCCTTTTCCCTGGGGGGACTCAGGGCGGCTCACAATTCAAAAAAGGAGGGGGGGGGAAGACAAACAGTATTTCAATATGGAAGCAATACAACATATTAAAAGAAAGCAAAACAGTCACACAATTCGGGTGGGGTTGGAATCTTAACCCCAGGCCAGCCGGGA